GACACACAGACACGCAGACACGCAGACACACAGACACACAGACACGCAGACACACAGACACACAGACACGCAGACACACAGACACACAGACACGCAGACACACAGACACACAGACACACAGACACGCAGACACGCAGACACGCAGACACACAGACACGCAGACACACAGACACACAGACACACAGACACACAGACACACAGATACGCGGACACGCGGACATACACAAGCGATGCGTGGTTTGAGTAATTGTTGGTCACACGTCGCATTATATTAGATCTGATCACACGCGCCTACACAAGCGGCACTCACGTACACACACACACACAGTCCTTCCTCGCACACACGTTCAGACGCAATTGCACACACGCGATTCACCGTACACGCAAGCGGCACGCACACGCACGCGTTAGCACGCACCCGCACGCACGCACACACCAGCACGCACGCACCCACACGCACGCTCCCGCACGCACGCAATACACCGTGCACGCACGCGCGCACTCACACGCACACACGCTTACACACATATACGCACACACGCGCACGCACAGACGCACGCCCGCACTCACACGCGCACCCGAACGCACGCACCCGCAGGCTCCCGCACGCACGCACGCACGCACGCACNCATGCCGCGTTTTCTCGCTGACGCCATCTTGCCGCTATGCCGCATGCCGCGTTGTCTCGCTGACGCCATCTTGCCGCTATGCCGCATGCCGCGTTTTCTCGCTGACGCCATCTTGCCGCTATGCAGCCGACGCGGCGGCAGTACGGCAATGATTGATTGCATGGGGATACGGAGCGGCAAATCTAGATGCGTTAGCGCGATGATGATGATGATGATGATGATGATGATGATGATGATGATGATATAATAATACAATAATCACCGTTATTGTTTTTTTAATAATGCAGTCATTGCTGTTATTGTACTGTTGTTGTAATTGTAAATAATTGTAAATGCAGTTAATATTGTTAATGTACTGTAAATAATACAGTTATTGCTGTTAGTGTACTGTAAATAACAGAGTTAATATTGCTAATGTACTGTTAATAATACAGCTAATCTTATTATTGTACTCGTGATTATTTTAACACAGGTTTGAGGGACTGCATACTCGGCTGTTGCAAGATGCAAACAGTGGCAGCTGGCAGCCAACTTGGGTTCGATTTTCGGCAAAATACTAGATTTTCGCCGCTTAATATCTCAGCATAGGGACATCGTAGAGACAAGCGGTTGGTTTTACATCATCAAGGTAAGACTGCTCAATAATAATACTGCAAGGAATTGTCAAAATAAAACGGGTAAAGTTTACTAATTCTACTGAAACTACAACATGGTTGTTGCATTTCACCGTTGTACGCTCTCACACTTAATACGCTCTTTATAATATACTGCGCTCTAACGCGACAACATGACACCGTGGTATGTGTGACATCACGTGCGACAAGAAATACTGTCACAATCACCGTGTGTCACATAATGTTACATGATGACGCGTAACGTAGCAACAAATACGGATTATTGCTCGCTCTCCGAATACACGGTCGATCCGGCATCCGAGATCCGGTCTCCACGCGCTGATGCATCTCGTTATCTCCGTCATCGTCAACGTCGAGGCTTTGCGTTATTATCGCGGAATTATATATTCCTAGACGAATAGGTGATGCGTGTGCGCATGCGCGCGTGAGGGGGTCCGGCGGCGGGGAAGATATTGATAGCAGTTAATTAATAGTGAGATGTGAGTCTGTGGTTAACTGTGACTGATTGCTGCTGCTGCTGCTGTTGCTGCTTGCCATGCTTGCTGCTGCTGCTGCTGCTGCTGTTGCCTGTTTGCTGCTGCTACTACTACTGTGCCTGCACTACTGCTGCATGCTGACTGTTACTGCTCCTGCTGACTGCCTGCTGCTTGTCTACTACTACTACTGCCTGCTGGCTACTGCATTACTATGCCTGCACCTGCTACTGCTGCTGCTGCTACTGCCTACTACTGCTATTACGTGCTGCTACTGCTTCTGACTGCTACTGCGCTGGCTGCTTACTGCCAGCATTTATTGCCTCGGCCATGACGGACCAGCGTACACAGGCCGCCGCAAATTAGATTTACTTTATATACGTGCGAGCCGGCGTGCGTGCCGTGGTTCCTGCGTGCCTTTGTCCTCGCGTGCGTGCTGTACGTTATGCGCATGTAACGAGTGTGCCGGCCGCGTCAGTGTATGTGTGTGCGGAGAGGCGATATGTATTATACTTGCAATGTATACTGTAACCAAAGTCTGCCGCGAATTCATTAGCAATCAAACGGACACCGCTAAATTGTAAAATATTATTCTTTTATATAATGATATATTCCGTAACCACTATTCTATATATTAATGATCGTTTTAATGTGGAATTTACTATCTAAGAGGCGTTTCGAGTCCCCTACACTACAGTTATATTCTACAGCCAAATATTACGTATATTGGAACGCAGCGCATGCATTTCATTGCAGTTACATTT